CTAATCAGGTTGCCTGTCTACAATTTATGAGATTGTCAAGTTGTATGGCATTCCAAAGATGATTACTTCTGATTGGGATGTGAAATTTGTTTGCCACTTTTGGCATACGTTGTAGACACGGTTACGGTCGAAGTTGCAGTTCAATAGTTCTCACCACGCATAAACTAATGTTCATATTGAAGTAACAAATCAAAGTTTAGGAAATTTATTGAGAAGTTTGATTAAAGTATAATTTGTTATAATCAATCACTTAACTGAACTATGGGCAAGAGTCCATTTGAGATTAAGTATGGCAGAAATCCAATTATCCCTCTTGACTTATCTTCGTTAGTTATTATTTATCAATTTAGGGTTGAAGGTGATGAGCAGTCAAGCCAGATTAAAGAGCTTCACCAACAAGTTCACATGCATATTGAGATGCATAACAAACAATATGATGACCATGCCAAAAATCATTACAAGCAGGTTGTTTATCGTGAATGTGATCTTGTGTGTTTACATTTGAGGAAAGAGAGGTTTTTCAACAGACGTTTTAGCAAGCTTCACCCAAGACTTGATGGTCCTTTTGTGTTTTGAACAAAATCAACAATAATGCGTTACTGGGTTATTATAATGTGTCTGCTATGTTTAATGTTGTAGATTTCATACTTTTCAGGATGATGAAGTTGACTCGAGGTTGACACCTTTTCAAGAGGGGAAATATGATGCAGGTGGTACAAGTGTTTATGTATGGCTTGATGATGTCAGTACCACTAGGAATGGAAGTTTGATGACATCGACGACTAATTTGTCGAAATGATCCAACAATTCGGAGGATGAAATTTGTACACATGTAAAATGGTTTGATTAAAAAAAATCATTGCTTCGCCATGACATGTGGTGTTTTTCGGTCATTCGGGATCGTTTAGTGCCTCAAAACGTGTTATTTCTATTTTTTTTATTTACCGAAACTTTTTATTTTGATTTTTGATTTAGATAATTGATGAATATTTTCCTTATCAATTATGATCTCATAGGATTAGTGAATGGAGCTTATATTCTCATCCTTATAATTATATCGTTTTGATTGTTTGTTAAATTGATTTTTTGATTATTAATAAATGATCCCGATTTGGACCTTTATGTTAGTGTTGGTTGTACTTTGACATTCAATCCAATCGTCTAGGCATATCGGTATATCATAGATTAAAGTTATCAGTATATAGCATAGATTAAACTCATTTGACAATATCATTTGTTTTCTGTTTTTTATCATTTCTTGTTGAAAGTTGATTTTATAAATGAAAAGAATGAAGTTTTGTTTCATACATACTCCAACGTGCAATTTAATGGTTCCGTGTAAGGGCCTGATTGATGTTATTAGACCATAGGCCGGTTCTTCTTCTGAATATATGGACATTTATTTAAGAGAATATGTGAAAAGTTGCAAAAAATGGATTAACAAAATGATACAATACATGTAAATAAATAATAGTTCAAGGCAGATGATTGTATATAGCAATTAAGGATGCAGGTGAGTAGTTGTAACTTTTTCGTGCTAAAAGAAGAAAAAAGTGAATTAAAGTTTGCATGCCAAACGTCATTGTCGTCGTGTTTGATGTTTGCGTAGGGGTCGTGTAATGCATAGAGCTCGTGCTAATTAACTTTGCACTGTTTTCCCCAGATTTTTAAGATAAAGGGGCAAAGACAGCAATATTTTTTCTGGATTTGTTTTCTTAGTTGTTTTCCTAAATATAAACTCAATTAAAATGAAGACGAGATAAAGAAAATATCTGGAACTATATAATTATTGCAAGCTCCGAAATTTTGCTACATAAAACGTAATGGCGGAGAGCATAGATATTTATTAGTTCATCTATCACCTAGAACTAGCTAGTCTCTACTATATATATATATATATATATATATATATATATATATATATATATATATATATATATATATATAGGGTTAGGTTCATGTGAGACGACTTAATTTTATGAGACCGTGAGACGCATTTTTTTAATTTTTTTTATTTTTTTAAATTTTTTTTTAAATTTTTTTTAGTTAATTTAAGTTCCAAAAATAATATTTAAAAAAAGAATTTTTTGATTTTTCCATTTATTTTGCATTTTAAAATTATTTTTAGAATATGTACACTGTAATATTCTATTTAGAATATTTCACGTATTTTTCAAAAAAATAGGATTTTATTTTTTTATTTTTTTTAGTTAATTCAAGTTCCGAAAATAATATTTAAAAAAAGAATTTTTAGATTTTTCCATTTATTTTGCATTTTAAAATTATTTTTTAGAATATGTCAGTGTAATATTCTATTTAGAATATTTCACGTATTTTTCAAAAAAAAAAACGAGATTTTTTTTATTTTTTTAAAATTTTTTTTATTCAATTCAAGTTCCGAAAATAATATTTAAAAAAAGAATTTTTGGATTTTTCCATTTATTTTGCATTTTAAAATTATTTTTAGATTTGGTCTCACGGTCTCACAAAATTAGTATGGTCTCAAATATATATATATATATATATATATATATATATATATATATATATATATATATATATATATATATATATATATATATATATATATATGAGACGGCCTAATTTTGTGAGACCGTGAGACGCATTTTTTTATTTTTTTATTTATTTATTTTTTTTAGTTTATTCAAGTTCCGAAAATAATATTTAAAAAAAGAATTTTTTTTGATTTTTCCATTTATTTTGCATTTTAAAATTATTTTTAGAATATATACAGTTTAAAATTCTATTTAGAATAATTCATGTATTTTTTAAAAAAAATAGGATTTTTTTTTTATTTTTTTTAGTTATTTCAAGTTCCGAAAATAATATTTAAAAAAAAGAATTTTTAGATTTTTCCATTTATTTTGCATTTTAAAATTATTTTTTAAAATATGTCAGTGTAATAATCTATTTAGAATATTTCACATATTTTTCAAAAAAATAATAAATTTTTTTTTAATTTTTGTTTTGTTTTTTTTAGTTAATTCAAGTTCCGAAAATAATATTAAATTTTTTTTTTTTGGATTTTTCTATTTATTTTGCATTTTAAAATTATTTTTAGATTTGATCTCACGGTGTCACAAAATTAGAATGGTTTCAAATGAACCTGAACCTATATATATATATATATATATATATATATATATATATATATATATATATATATATATATATATGTATATATATATACACACATATATATATATATACATATATACATATATACATATATATATATATATATATATACATATAGGGAAAATGACGTATAGGCCCTATAATGTTTCTAGGGTTGACCCATTTAGCCAGTTAACTTATTTTGTGGTTTAATAAGGGAACGAATTATTTGTTACCTAACAATATAGACCCTTTTACCTATTGTAGCCGGTTAAAGTTGCCACATAAACCTAACCTAACACGTAAGTGATGACATGGCAAGAAGTTAAATCATCCAAGAACAGCAATGACGTCTTATTGAAGGCGAATCGTAAGGAGCAAGGATCGACAGTTCTAGCGCCTCCATATAAAATGAAGACTTTGTTGACCTAAAAGGGCACGTCTGCAAACTTCATTACCCCAATCTCATCTCTGAGTTTACTCCAAAATGGCTTTCGAGCGGACGTGCAGAACACAGCTGGTCTCCAAATTACGATCATCACATGGATGAGAATCATTCGAATGGTGTAACCAATGAAGACATGGCCATCAGTCTACTGCAAACCCAGATGGAACTGTCTCTTATACGAGAGGACTTCCAAGACCAGTTGCGTGAGCTCCGTCAGGCAGTTAATCGACACTTAGATGCCATGAACCTTGAGGTCGATGACGTTCGCGCTGGTCAGATGGATATCTCACATATGGTTGCTGATCTTAAAAATCATCTCGATTCTCTGCAAGGAGCATATGTGAAGATGGTCTTCAAGGACAACAAACGCAAGAAGCTGATGTCTTGTGTTGGGATTTTTGGTGTTGTTTGTGCGTTTGTGGTGATGTATTTGGTGTTTAAGTAAAAAAATGTTGTGTAGGTTGAAGCATTTCACTCCTAGGTTTGTGTTTTGGTGTGTTGCCTATGTTGTTTAGTGTCAATATTAGTAATAGATTTTGTGTGGGTTGCTGGTATTAGTTTGTGATGTTGGTCTGTAGATTTGGTGGTGGTGTTGCTAGGCTGCTAATTTGTCATCGTTTTTTGATGAATTTTTTTGTCGATGATCTCTGTAATAGGTTATTGAATAGCAGAAAGCAATGTAAACAAACCCATGGGTGAAATGTGTTTTAATATGTTATTATTAAAAAAACGAATTTGTCTTTCACCTGTATCTGTATGTGTGCATGAAAGAAAGAAACATTTGGGTATTATATATGTTTCATCGACTGGGACGGCACCACAAGACAAAGCAAAATGAATTTACCTTCTTTATGCGCATAGACAGGGACCACAAATGGTGCAGTTTGGGAAAAGGGACAAAAAATACCTTTGCACACGATTGAACCATATCTGCTTGTCTGCAAACCTTTTTTGGAAAAAAAAAGGGAATAAAGTTTTCTAAAGATAGCCTTTTCATGTTGAATGGATTAAGTCACAAGTCCCCTGTTTTTTACAATGACTTAATTACCCCTGCATGAAAAATGGTCAATTTACTTTGTAATGACTTAATTACCCCTGCATCCAAAATGGCCAATTTACTTTGTAATGACTTAATTACGCCCACATCCAAAAATGGTTTTAATTTCTAATGATTAAAATGCCCTCACATCCAAAATGTTAAATTTAATTTCTATTGACTAAAATGCCCCCACAACCAAAATGGTCAATTTAAATAGTAATAACTCAAATACCCCCACATCAAAAATGGTCAGTTTACTTTGTTTTGGCTAAAATGCCCATAATACCCCTAAGTATTCGTAGTACACCATAAAAGAACATACAAAGATAATTTGTTTACTGCAACACACATTCACTACAAATAACAAACAACTACTTAATCCAAATCCATGGTCGTTGTAACACTACTACCTTCACCTCGTACATTTTTGGCAAGCTTCAGTTTAATGATTCGTTCTGACTTATTTCGCATTTTAGGTGGTTTAACATGCTTAACTCGAGCATTGACATTCACCCCTTCATCCCGTCCATTGACTCCCACCATTCGCTCTTCATCTCTAGGCCTATCCAAAGCATCAGTAGCATCTACGATTACTTTATCATCCCCTACTCCTGTGGCAACGTTTACAGACTCCTGCGTAGGTATAGTTTTTTGTTTCTTTGTCCCATTTTGTTTGGATGTTCCTACACCTTTACTACAAGTAGCCTTGTTGTGTCCTTTCTCCTTGCATATGCTGCAAGAAACTTTCTTCTCTGCCTTGTAGACGGTATGTTTTCCCATCCGTTCAGAAGCATCTCTTCTTCTCTTTATGGTTGGCCTTCCTGGCATACGTCTTTTCAATGGAGGCAAAGGGGGTATCAAGTCAGTAGAAGGCCACATATTTTGTCCATTCATCCCATGGATTGGCTGTTTGTATGTATTATGGTATAATGCAACCAAGTACATTGGATCTACATATGGACCGTCAGGTGTCAAATTTAAGTAGGCTAAGGTGGCAACTGAGTGTATGCAGCCATATCCATTAAGTTGCCATAGCCTATAGCTGCATTCCTTTTTTTCAACATCCACAATAAACGCCTCGTCCATCTTCCTTGCCTTAAACTTCACCCCCCCACAAGAAATGACATGCCAATGCCTACATATATAGATGAAAACCGCAAATATCATGAGATGTGAAGAATAAAGTACTAATGTAATTGGATAAATGTACAAACCTTTGCTCAGTTTGGAGAATATTCAACCGTATTCTGATGTTTGGATAAACAGAATAAGCATTCCATCCTTGTCCAGTTACTTTCATAGTCACCATCCTTTGCATCACATATATACGAATGTCCTCTAACATGCTTATTATTGGTTTCTTCCGGGCATCCAAAATCACACTATTAAAACTCTCTGAAAAACCATTCTCTACTGACTCACAAGAATTATGAACTCTGAAAAAAACCAAAGACCAAGTCTTTGGATCTCTAGCCATAAGATGCACAACTGCTTCCGGATTTAATTTTCCAATCTCTTTCATAACTACATTAAATTGTGCTTCAGTTGTTGCCTTGCTCGCTTTCCAAAACAGATTTTCAAACTTGGATCCACTAAATCTCTTTCTAAAATTTGCATAGATATGTCTAGCACACTGCCTATGTTCAGCTGCTGGAAATACTTCCTTTACTGCCTCAATCAAACCCTATATAAGTCACATTAATGTTTGAAATTCGAATAGCAATAACTAAATTTAAAACATGCAATAGTTTTGAACCATACCTTGTGTTGATCCGAAATTAGAACCAAACCGTTACCATCATTCCAACATTGCAAATCTTCTGAAAGAGTTTCTAAGAACCATTTCCAAATCTCTTTGTTTTCCACAGAAACAACTGCCCAAGAAATTGGGAATATTCCATTGTTAACATCTCTACCCACAGCACAAAGTAACTCCCCTTGACAAAAAGTTTTCAGAAAACAACCATCCAGGTTAATGATCCTCCTACATCCTCCCCTCCATCCCTCTTTTACTGAAGCAAAACATATGTATATTTTGCTGAAATAATTCTTACCATCAGACATTGAATCAACACAAATTTTAACTGTGGATCCAGGATTTGATCTTTTAATCTCCTCACCATATGACAATAATATTCCATAATTCTCAGCTATTGTCCTTTCAACTAGACTCAATGCATACTTCTTGGCTCTCCTACACTGACTCATACTCATGTTAATCCCAAAATCTATTTTTACCTCCTCTCTAACCATTCGGATGCTCATCTTTTGATTGTTATAAAATTGGTGCTTAAAGTGGGTCCCTATCCATTTGTAAGTCACAATTGATCCGAATTTGAAATTCTTTGCACAATTATGCTCACCGATAAGAGATTTTATCTGGAAAGACTTATCTTCACTCATCCAAGAACCCCAAAGCCTAAAAGTACATTTTCCATCACAACATTTGACAAGTAATCGTCTAGTATCATTCTTAACAAAACATAATTGATAACCATTCGCGGCAGTATAGTTACAAAGCATGTGTTTCAATTGCTTAGGACTCTCAAACCTCATACCTAAAATAGGTTCCTGCTCCTTCCAATTGAGCTTATCATTGAAAATGTTTGGCAATTCGGGATAAACATCTTCATTGTCCCCCATGTCTTCTTCGAAAAACTCACCTGCACCTGCTTTCTCACCCATCTCTACCTGACTCTCATTACCCTTTACAAAAAATGAGGCTTCTGATGGTCATCCTCATCGCCATCGACATCCTCATCCTCGTCGTCATCATCATCGCCATTATGTACCTCATCGTTCGTGTCACTGTCACCCACATCCCGATACACTGGTGTAACTTCCTTAACCAGTCCTGCACCATCAAGTACTTCTTCCTCAACGTTACCAACAAACTCGTCTTTGTGTTCATCCAACCATTCATGTATGTTACTATCCCCAAAATGGTCTACATACATAGGGAGTATAACACCACATTCATATGCAATTTCAATGAAGTCGTAATAATCGGGGTCATTGCAAATTAGAGTCAAACCTTTTGGGAAATCAATATCAGGTTGGCAGTAATAGAGCTTCTCACACTTTTCCCCAATGAACCTTTCGATGAACGCAACACACCTATCCTTGTCCATTCCTGCGAAATCAATGTCCGAAAACCTCTGAGTAATTCCACCGGTATAGCGTATGGGGTTTCTGGCGAACATTCCTTGGAAGTGGACATCTACTTGTAAGAATACGGGTTTCATGCTTGAGGATTCAGAAGCAGCTCACGAAAAAGGGTTTACCGATGAAGTGTTGAACAGTGGATGTAAAAGGGCTCTTTTATAAAACATATACGAACATTACGAAGGAGGCGACTAATTAATGACATGGCATTAGACGAAAGTCACAGTCAGCATCCGATGTGGTGTTAGTAGAAGGAGGTGGACTTAAAATGACCGGCTAACCCCTTTAAAATTGAAATAAGGACTTAATCTACCCGACAAAGACTAATTCGATCCCTTATTAAGCCACAAAATAAGTTAACTGGCTAAATGGGTCAACCCTAGAAACATTATAGGGCCTATACGTTATTTTCCCATATATATATATATATATATATATATATATATATATATTATATATATATATATATATATATATATATATATATATATATAAAAGCTCGTTGAGCTTAGCAATAGCAACATTTAGTGTCTTTAGGTTTTTGACACAATGTCAAAGGTGTGGGCTGGCGCTCTACTTTTCTCTCTTGAATGCTCCCTCTTGTATATTACAATTTTCTATGGGTACATATATCTTTAATTGTCGTTGTGATAGGAGAAAATTTGCACATGGAGTACGATTTAGATTTGAAGAAAACTTATTTCACGATTGTGTTTGATGTTTGTACAAGTGTACTGAATAGACCTCATGCATGCACGTCCGATCCATTGATTTTGAAGTCTCTCTACAAAGAGTAAATATCGGTCATGAATAACTTTTTTTCTGTAGAAAAAGTTATAAAAAAAAATAAAAAATAAATAATAATAATAATAATAATAATAATAATAATAATAATAATAATAATAATAAAAAGAAACCGGAAGGAACAAGAGCTATTGAAGCTAGGTGGATTAATCAAAGGGAAATGCTAAAGTCATTCCAGCTACGCTATTTTCATTTATATATTAAACGAAACACATTTTGCATATAAAGATTAATAGATAAATCAACCGAATTTTAGGTTCTAAATTTTTAGGGGCGATGTGTGATCACTCATCATGCACACCTTCAGGTTTCTCCGCCTGACCGCCTTGACCTCATGTTAAAATAGATTGCATTAGATGATTATTAGAAGGGGCAAGTCAACAATAACATAGATGGATTCCTGAACAAGAACATAACTAAAATGTCGAGACACCGATAAATGAATGGCCTCTCTATGGCCAAGACAAAAGTCGTTGATGAAGTTCAAGTTTCCGTCGCTAAGCGCACGACAATGGTTGTCCCTATAGACAGTGTTGCAAATATTTCATATGTATTAATAGCAATAGTGACTATATACCGATCATCGTTGTAGCCATACGCAATTTCGACAATATGTCGTCGCACCAGACATTAAAGTTGAAGAAGAAAATTAGGAACTTAAATCTATGTACTAACGACATGCTGTCACAAATAAGTTAATAAAATATACAAAGCCTTATTGGACAGCGTTTTGTCGCCATAGGGGTTGTGTTTGAAAAAACCCATTCACACATAGTGACATGTGTGTTTCCCACTTATGAAAAATAATCTAATTTTCTTATTATTTCATTTTGAGAAAAATTTATAGATCAATACAATATTTCTTGAAAAAATATTTCCTACAATATAATAATTTGTATTTTAATAGTAGTTATTCAAAATTAATTAGTACTAACATTCATAATTCTATACAAACCATTCAAAATGTAATACATTTTTTACAAGCATAACAAGAAAAGCCACCTTTAGCGACACCGCTATAAGCGATGACGCATGTGTTAACGACGACATCGAACCGGACACGCCTGGTGTCATCAGTAAAGGGAGCATCACCAGTAAAATCATCATCGCTAATAGCTTCTATCGACGATCCGTGTGATGTTGCCGAGAATGAATCGTGGCTATAGTTTCTTATGTTGATCCAACGGTTAGAGTTTATCTTCGTGTGTGTGTGTCTATATATATATATATATATATATATATATATATATATATATATATATATATATATATATATATATATTGACACACACGATAGTGGCGATAACAATCGAGTCGACACCGTCTCTGCTAATGCTCCATAAAAATTGTACTTTGTACTTTACTAATTTGTTAAGTGTTTAATACATTTGTTAGGAAAATTGTTACTTTGGAACTTTGCTATATTGTTAAGCGCTTAACGCATTTTGTAGTGAATTTTGCTAGTTAAGTACTTTGCTAATTTGTTAAGTGCTTAATGCATTTATTATGAAATTGGTCGTAACACCGTGAAAATTTACAACCAATTTAAACTTTTCAAAAACAACCTATATTCATTAAGTTATTACCAAAAGGTTTTTAATTCTTTTATTATCAGAGTATCCCAGAACATCAACATAAAACTGAGGAGCGGTACGATCATGCCTTCGCTTTGTTACGATCTCCAGAAGTACCTGAAACAATACACTGAAACTGTAAGCCCAAAAGCTTAGTGAGTTACACCCAAAATGATGGGTTTTGGTCATAAGACATTCTATGTGCTCATACAAACCCTAATGCTTGGATCTAGGTTTCTCTGTTGTACATGCTTTGAATCCATGACTATAAACCCTAATGCTCGCATGCAAGTAATCATATTAACATGTAATTAGGTTTAAGATCATACCTTGATTGTTATGTAGCAATAACAATCCCAATTCCTCCTTGTATTGACTTTGGAAGGCTTAGAGTCACAAGTGTCACTCCTCTAATGGTTCACAAACACCATAAGCAAGAGGATGAAGAGGAGAGAGGTTGGAGGCTACCAAAACGTGTGTAAACCCTTACAAGAAGCTTAGCCACGTTTTTTAGCCTTAAGGGATCTTTATATAGTTGGGCTATTAGGGTTATCTAACAAGGAAACCCTAATATGAATGCTTAAGCTAAGCAACCCATAGACTCCTTTAATTAAGCCCATGGACGATTTCCTTATGGGTTTCCCATTAGAATTCGTCCATCCCTTAATACAAGGCAATCCATGGCCCAAATTCAATTATCTTATAATTACAATTCCAGTCCCTTAAGTTTAATTAATCTCTTTTAGTAAAACTAATTACCAATTAATTATTGACTAATATTAATTAAACAATATGATTTCTCTTTAATATATTATTCTCATAATACATTAATAAATCATATTTAATCCTTCTCTCCATAATTCATCCTATCAAGTTGCTTTGGTGAAGGCAACCCAAAAGGACCATGCACCATCGGGTCAAGTACATACCAAAAATAGTTATGGACTTAGACACTAATCCAACAGTCTCCCACTTGGATAAGTCTAACAACTATTCTGCGTATGACTTCAGATCCTGATCTGCAATCGTAGCTTTCCAAAGCCGCTGTCAACTCTGATCTATCAGATACGCGTGTCCTTAGATAAGGGATCATATATTCCTCCATTCTAGATATCGTATGAGATATGATTTCTAATCATTCTCTTTGTACTATTCTCGATTTCGATTTATGACGACAGACTAATTGAACAAATCAAATTAGCCCTAGCCCGGCCGAGCATTTACGTATGTCATCACTAAACCATCGAGGGGCCCAAAGATATCGCTTTTATCCTCTTGGATAAAAGGAACGGATAAACTTTGATACAATGCTTGCTTGCACTCACTAACCAAATACACACAACAATATGTTTTATAACACCAAGTTACTAGTGCGTTTACATATTATCAATGTGCAACCGATTAGCAAGATACAACTCACACATCTCGGTTTCAAGAATATAAGATGTTATCGTCTCACTAATCACTCGAGATAGTGATCCAAGTGAGCGTGGGTTTAATCCAATGCTCAAATCATATTCATAAGCACTCATGAACGTTGCAGCAAACATTTGCTTATGTCTAATACTCTTTAGACAATCCACACACCAATTCACGACAGTCTTCATTCATATCTACTTCCAACATATGAACGACTGTGGCCCGTTTGAATAATTCGATTATTCTTAATAAACTCAATTATTCTGGAAGTCAAAACATGCAAGGTGAAACACAAGAATAATACTAATCCCATATGGCCTCAAACCTTTGAGTATAAACAAAACACGTTTTATTTATCACCATATCGATTACTCATTATTTGTCGTTTCGGGTAATCAACTTTTACTTGAATTATTACACTTGTCCCATGCTCCTAGCATGCACACAATGTTTACCTATGGTTCTTACTTTTGTGAAATAGACAAATTGAACACATTTCCAATCATTCTCATTTTACAACTCCAAATCCATTTTCTTAAGTGTAAGAATATCAAATTCTTGTTACTTATAGAATATACTAGATTCTAACACTTTATGCAACGATCCTTTTGTAATGTCACTGCACCAAAGTCTCAAAGACTATTGCCAATGATATTACAAAGTCCTCTATAGATTGTTACAAGACAATTCCTTAGATATGATGTCTCTCACTCAAAGTACATTCCTTTGAACATCCTTTTGCATAAAAGTTTCTAATCTAGTCATAGATTTTCAATATTTACTTCCCAATATAGATACATTTCCATACTTTCCATATGACAACTCATTTCTTAATAGAATCTTTTCTATTCATCATAATGTCAATATGGTCCATTAATACCATGCTTCCAACTACTCACAAGCAACCAATCCTCGTCGAACTTTGGATTGTTCTTTGATAGTTGTTTAATTATTTTAGTCAAAACCGATTCTAGTCCCTTTTCCCTCTAAATGCGCTAGACATTTGGAAAATTTTAGAATGGTCAAACATTAAAGCATTTGCAATCGATCCTATACCCGAAGCGTATGGGACACGACACATAATGTTTTATTTGCTATGTTCTCAAAATTCGAATTGTGAAGAGGAATGCCGTAATCATAATCGAAATTTTAAGAACACACTATGTACCCTTGACTAATTTATTAACATTCTCACAACCTAATCCTTTAGATTTGAAATGAAGCATAATATTTCTCCCTTA